GCAGCACGGCGGCACCACAGCACGGCGGGAAAAGGGGCCGGCACGTACTGGGGCTAGCTCGAACGGGGGCCGGTGTGAGCAGGGGCCGGCGCAGGGGGACGGGGCCAGCGCAAAACGGAAGGGCCAGCGCGTACTAGCGGGGCCGGCGCGTACTAGCGGGGCCGGCGCGAAGTGACGGGGCCGGCGCGAACAAGCGGGGCTGGCGCGAACTGACGGGGCCAGCGCGAAGCGACGGGGTGGGTGCAACTAGCGGGGCCGGCGCGAACTAGCGGGGCTGGTGTGATTGACGGGGCCGGCGCGAAGCGACGGGGGCCGGCGAAAAGTGACGTGGCCGGTGCGAACTGACGGGGCAGCGCGAAGCGGCGGGGCCGGCGTGAACTGACGGGGCCAGCGCGAAGTGACGGGGCCGGCACGAAGCGACGAGGCCGGCGTGAACTAGCGGGGCCAGCGCGAGCAGACAGGGCTGGTGCGAACTAGCAGGGCCGGCGCGAACCGACGGGGCCAGCGCGAACTAGCGGGGCCGGCGCGAACTAGCGGGGCTGACGCGAAGTGACGGGGCCAGCGCGAAGTGGCGGGGCCGGCGCGAACTAACGGGGCCAACTTGAAGTGACGGGGCCGGCGTGAACTAGCGGGGCCAGCGCGAACTAGCGGGGCCGGCGCGAAGTGACGGGACCGGCGCGAACTAGCGGGGCTGATGCGAACTCACAGGGCCAGCGCAAAGTGGCGGGGCGCTAGCGCGAACTGACGGGGCCAACGCGAAGTGACGGGGCCGGCGCGAACTAGTGGGGCAGGCACGAACTTATGGGGCCAGCGCGAACTAATGGCTAGGGCTAGGGCTAGGGCATGGCTAGGGCTAGGGCATGGCTAGCACACGGCTAGGACACGGGCTAGGGCTAGGGGCGGAAGCTTAAGCGAGGAGGGGGGCCTAAACTAGCGTGATAGCATTTCGTGAGCAAGGCAGCCCCAGACGCGAAACGCAGACGCGTCATCAGGGGACCCAGACCAAAGAAAGTTCGGCGAAACCTGAGGCTGCTGGGGGTGCGGCCACAAGTTAAGCTGGTGAGCGGCGTAGCGAACGGCGAACGGCCACAGAAAATGGGGTGCACCAGCATGGATCATGGAGGTGCGAGCCACCTCCATGACCAAACCGATGCGTCTCTCAGCGACCCCATTCTGCTGCGGGGAATCCAGCAAGGTGAACGACTGGGTGATGCCCTCCGCACGACAGAAACGACCAAGGACACCTGAGGCAAACTCGCCACCACGGTCGGAGTGGAGGCGCAAGACAGGGAGACCGCGACGGACATGCGCAGCGACAAGCCACGGGATAAGAACGTCAGGCACGTCGGCCTTCCGCTCCAGGGGGAACACAGTGGTGTAGCGCGTATAGTCGTCGACAAGCACTAGGAAGTAGCGCTCTCGACGCGGCCCATGGACGGGGGCGGGGCCCCAGACGTCCATGTGCAGAGTCTGTAGCGGTGCGGCAGTAGGGGGAAACGAGGAGGAGTGAGGAGCACGGCAAAGCCGGCCCTCGACACAAGGCGTGCAAGGTGGGGCAGGGGAGGAGGGAAACTCAGAGAACGACCCAGGGAGGCCAAGGACGAGACCGTGCTGTGACATGTGACGCAGACGCGGGAGCGCAGGGTGACCTAGACGGTGGTGCCACTGGAGAGTCGGGTGGGTGAGTGACCGACAGGAGCAGGCAGCAGCAACCTGGGTAGACGCAGCCACCTGAAGGGGGGTCCCAGCCGGGGGGGTCACCCCATTCTGCTGCGGGCGACTACAGGGCCGGAGGAGGAGCCAGCAAGAGAGACTGCGGCAGGGACAGGAAGCGGTGTCAACGTGGTGGAGTCGCGGAAGAAGCACCGGGAAGCGCCAGAGTCGAGGGTGAAGGAGAGCGCGGCAGTGGCGGCCGGAGGCGAAGCAGCGACGGAAGCATCAAGGCTAAACAAAGCAGGGGATCCTACGCCTGACGCAGCAGGGGAGGCTAAGCAAGGCACACCTACACTAGGCAACAAGGGGTAATAAGACGGAAGCACACTGGAGTCATCAGCATACATCAATGGAGAGCAGTAACAATCTCATCCATATCCAGATCAAAAATGTGAACCCTACGATGAAGCAAGCTGTGCCAGTCTGGGAGCTCGGGCGACGGGCCGAAGCGCTGACGAAACAGGTCGTCCAGGCGACGGAAACAGCGGACGGAGGTGTGACCGATCTTACCGCAAACGAAGCCACGGCGAGGACCGGTCTGGAGCAGGTACTGACAGCGCGCATCACCCGAACCACCCCCCGGCAGCCCACCACGCGCACCACCACCACGTCCAGCGCTACCACCAGCGCCAGGCCACCCGGGCGGGAGACCACTCGCCCGTCTCTGCTGCCGCTGCGGCTGCTGTGACTGCTGCGGCTGCTGCGGCTGACGCGAGTCCGTCTGCAACACCGGCGGCTGCTGAGACGGCTGCTCGGCTACACCTGTCAGGGTCCCCTCGTCCGCACCACCACCAGGAGACCCAGCTCCAGCACCACCTACACCTGCACCCCCACCCCCGGCGCCATGCCCAGCCTTGGGGCGGCGACCCTTCCCCGGACGAACCTGTGTTGCAGCGGCAGTCTCAGCCACAGCAGCAGAACCGTCGGAGAAGGTGCACTGAGCGGGGGCGCAACCCTGAAAGATAGGGACCGGCACAGTACCGTTGGTCTGAGCAATAGAGCGGTGGCGGGCCTCTATAGCGGACAGGGTGTCAACAAAGTCAGTGAGGGTGAGGTCTGTGGGATGGACACTAAGGAAGTGGTCACGGGCAGTGGCAAGACGGTGCGGGAGGCGGGTGGCTAGCAGGTAGAGAGTAGAGGTGAGGGGCGACTGGTGGGCTAGAAGCTGTGTGGCAGTGCAGGCAGCACGCCAGGTCTCATCTATAGTGCGCAGGTGAGCGGACATGTCAGCGACAGTAGGGAACGACGCAAGGTCAGGGAAGAGCATGGGGAGGATCAGACGACCTACCGAGGCAGCACGCGGGGTGGAATAGCGCTGGACAACAGCATCTATGAAAGCGTGGACAGTGGTGATAGACCTGAAGCGAGGTCGCTCGGACAGGGGGAGGGCATTGCTAATGGCAAGCTGTGCGACAGCGTCACGGGACAGCCAGACAGAGCGAGCAAGGGCAGCGGCCGCAGCGGACTCACGCTCAATGGACGAGGGGTCAGGAGACATTGCAGCAGGGGGGTCAGGGCAGGGGAGGGTACCGTCAAGATGGACAGACAGCGAGTGGCCATCCTGCCGCTGACCAGTGAGGTGGCGACGGAGGTCAGCAAGCCACGCATCAAACTCAATCGGCTGGCCCTCAGCGTCAAAGCGAAGCACCTCCGCCATCAGTGACAATAGAGGGCAGTGTAGAGTGGTGCAGGACGGTGCAGTACGGTGCAGTGTAGTGCAGTGCGACACAGTGCGGTGCAGTGCAGTGCAGTGCGGTGCAGTGCAGTGCAGTGCGGTGCAGTGCAGAACAGTGCGGTGCAATGCGGTGCAGTGCGGTACAGTACGGTGCAGTGCAGTGCAGTGCGGTACAGTGCGGTGCAGTGCGGTACACTGCGGTGCAGTGCGGTACAGTGCGGTGCAGTGGGGTGCAAAGCAGTGCAGTGTGGTACAAAGCTGTGCAGTACGGTATGAGGGGTTTCGCAGGGTGGTGCTGATCGGGAAGAACGGGCCGAACCCGAAGCGGCGGCGGGCTGGCGACGACGCGGATGCAAGGGCGGGCCGACGGGCAACTAACGCGCGGGGCCAGCAAACGGCTTCAACGGGGGCCATCTAGGAGCTGGCGAGATGGCGAGGAGAGCAGGCCGCGATGGCCGCGACGGCGGCTAGGGGCGACCGCGACGGCAGGAGCATCGGCGGCGACTGGAGCTGGCAGCGACGGCGGCTAGGGGCGGCTGGAGACGGCAGCGACGGTGGCTAGGGGCGGCCGCGACGGCAAAGGGCGGCCGTGAGCCGGCTGGAAACGGCCGCAACGGCAGCTAGGGGCGGCCGCGACGGCTAGGGGCGGCCGCGACGACAGCAAGGGGCGGCCGCGACGGCGAGGGAGTCGGCTAGGGGTGGGCGCAAACGGTCAGGGGGCCGGCTAGAAGCGGGCGCGAAACGGCCAGGGCGCCGGCTAGGAGGGGCGCGACGGCCAGGGGGCCGGCTAGAAGCGGGCGCGACGGCCAGGGGGCCAGCTAGGGGCGGGCGCGAACCGCCAGGGGGCCGGCTAGGGGCGGGCGCGACGGCTAGGGGGCCGGCGAGGGACGGGCGCGAACGGCCAGGGGGCCAGCTAGGGACGGGCGCGACGGCCAGGGGGCCGGCTAGGGACGGGCTCGACGGTCAGGGGGCCGGCTAGGGACGGGCTCGACGGTCAGGGGGCCGGCTAGGGACGGGCGCGACGGCCATGGGGCCGGCTAGGGACGGGCGCGACGACCAGGGGGGCCGGCTAGGGACGGGGGCGAACGGCCATGGGGCCGGCTAGGGACGGGCGCGACGGCCAGGGGGCCGGCTAGGGTCGGGCGCGACGGCCAGGGGGGCGGCTAGGGACGGGCGCGACGGCCAGGGGGCCGGCTAGGGACGGTCGCGAACAGCCAGGGGGCCAGCTAGGGGCGGGCGCGTATGGCCAGGGGGCCGGCTAGGGACGGGCGCGAACAGCCATGGGGCCAGCTAGGGGCGGGCGCGTACGGCCAGGGGGCCGGCTAGGGACGGGCGCGACGGCTAGGGGGCCGGCTAGGAGCGGGGCAAGATGGCGGCTAGGGCCTAGGGGCGAAAGCTGGGCGGGCTAGGGGGGGGGGACTTAACCTACTATGATACCATATCAGAATGAATAATGACTAGAAGGCAATATAGATACACATACACATACAATATGGGGAGATACAAGGCAATATAGATTGGTGAGCTGCACCCATTAAAGCACAAACACATATAGTCTACAGTAACAGCATAAGTTATGTTTGACACTTGATTCTGAACATGTTCTTAACTTGTTCTTCAGTAAATTTTGATCAATACTCTACAAGTTCTAAGACTTCCGCTGTCTTACGGTACTAGTCTACCATTCCAGTAAAGATCCTAGGCTAACACTTGAAGTTTCCCAAGTGTTCGTGTTAGCAGATTCTAAACTTAGTCTCTTGCAATACCTGCCAAATTATTACACTAACAACGCGAGCACCTATTCGTGTGTAACTTAGCAGTCATAACGGACTTGTGATCTTTTTAACAAACACAGCTTCACCTTTCTGGCCAGCTGCATACCGCAGAAAAAGAAAAAGGTGCATCAAACTCCCACAGGATTGCTGCAACGTGAGAAGCTGATGGAACGGCATGGCTGAACTTATCGATATGACCACACAGCATGGCCGGTGAGAACAGGGCTGACGCTGCCGGGGAGAAATGGGAGGAAACAACTTCAGAGGGAAAGTGTGAGTGCTCGAGAGGGGCATTCAGCACACAACGGAGCAGCCTTGTTCCCAAGCCAAGACTCGGCAAGCGGGCACGCGTTGCCAAAGCCAGGGCAAGCTAGCGGCAGCGAGTGCGGGTCAGAGGGCCCTGTGGAAGCACCATGGACGCCCTTGATGCTTCTAACTAAAGGGTGCTGCAGCTGAGGCGGGGGCAGAGGTGGGCGAGTGAGCGTGCGAGTGCAAGGGCAGGTCGAGGTATTGGCCGGACTTGGAGCGATAGAGGGAGTGGAAGAGCGGGCGCAGGGATGGTATTCTTAGGGCGTCCAGGTAGGAGTCGCACTGGAAACACCACACAGACGAATCCCTGCATGCATGACGGGCATTCAAAAAGAGGGGGACGAGGGAGGAAGGGGGTTGGGGGGAGAGAGGGGAGGGGGGAGTGAGAGAGAAGAGGGAGGGGGTGGGTGAGAGGAAGGAATGGAGAAAGAGGGTTGACAGTTAAGGTGTTGCACATAGCTAGTGCATGCAAGTGTGCGTGAGCCGAGTGTGCATGAGCCGTGTGCATGAGTCGAGTGTGCGTGAGCCGAGTGTGCATGAGCCGAGTGTGCGTGAGCCGAGTGTGCGTGAGCCGAGTGTGCATGAGCCGAGTGTGCATGAGCCGAGTGTGCGTGAGCCGAGTGTGCATGAGCCAAGTGTGCGTGAGCCGAGTGTGCGTGAGCCGAGTGTGCGTGAGCCGAGTGTGCGTGAGCCGAGTGTGCACCTGAAGCCAGCGGCCACAGGGTGTCCCGTGGCGTGGAAGTGCTTCACCATGTGGGCGCCCTCCGCCCGCCCGCACGCCACCTCGCCACATGTCAGGCACACCCAGTTGTCTGCCGCGCACCCGCACCTGCGCACCACGGCGGGGCAGCACGGCAGGGGAAAGCGGCGAGTTGGGTCGTGCGAGTGGGGGTGTGGCGGGGGGATGTAGGGAGTGCAGAGAGAAGGCAAGAGACACGCGTGACTTGCGCCTCCATGCTGCGAAACGCCCACTGCTGCTCGCCGCACTCAGGTTCTCAACATGCCCACATCACCAACGCCACCCCCCCCCACCCCTTGCTTAACCAACACGGCCTACAACCCCCGCATTGCAAGCCCCTTCCTTTGGCTCTTGTTGCCGGCGTTTTTCGACTAATCAGCCCGGCCCAACAATCCCGCACATGAATAGCGGGGAACGAAACAGCAGGCGGGAAGAGGATGAGAGGAGCAGAGCAAAGAGCGGGAGGCGACGGTGGAGGACAAGGGACAAGGGAAGATGGAGCGGGGAGGACGGAGCGAGGAGAAAGGTGCAGGCGCGGGGGTGCAGGCGTACTGGTTGCAGAGCGCGTGGAAGGGCGGCAGGTCGCGCAGGAACGCCATGTCGTGTATGTGCGCACAGCTGCCCCTCGCCTCCACCCACACCGGCCCCTGCCCACGGGCAGCGCGGGCAGGGAGGGAGGGAGGGGGGGAGAGAGGCAAAAGGTCACGAACCGGACATCATTACACGAGCAATTAAGTGCAGGCGCGGTCGGGGAGGAAAGCGCGGGAGGCGACGGGTGTTGAAGAGGGCGCAGAAGTGGAAGCGGGTCCGAGGGGAGTGCATGCGAGATTCGGAGTGGAGTGCGGGGGATCGGCCGGGCCCTACAGCTGCGCGCCAAGGACAGGCACACGCACGCATGCGAGCAGCGCCACGGCCGCTCCTGTGCGCGTGTGCGCCTCGCGTGGAGCTAGCAGTCCCGCGTGTCCCGTACCCCCTCTCCCCTCTACCTGACATCTGCTGCTCCCACTGCTCCACCGTGCATCACCATGCGCCCGCCCGCCCTGCCTTCCGCTGCCCGCTCGACCTCTCGTCGCGGATCGCCGCTTCCTCCCCCGCCGCCGCGTGCCATCCCCGCGCTGCACGGCCTCCACCCAGCGCCATTCCCGCCCCTCCCTCGCCTCGCGCTCACCTCTAGCGGGCTGCCGCTCAGCGCCTGTTGCCCGCCGCCCTCATCGCTCGCCGCGCCCGCCTTGCCGCCCTCCGACTCGCCCGCGCCCAGCCCGATGCGATCGTCGCGCGCGCTGACCCCGCCGTCCATCGCCATGGCGCCGCTCGCCGCGGGTGGTGCGACGAACGACCGGCGACGAATGCGGTGGCAAGAATGCAGACTTCTCGGGCGAACGGAGCAAGCGGAGGGGAATCGCGGTTGAAGAGGACGGCCGTGCGCGGCGTGGCTGGAGAACCTAAGGCAAGCACAAGCCGAGGTGCACGTGCAAGGGCGTCCGCTACAGCGAATAGCGCGCGAGCAGCGATCGCTGGTGGGGGCGTGGACGCACAGATCTAGCGCACGAAGTGGGTGGAGGAGAGGAAAGCCAACCCGATGGACGCGGCAGGTGCGAGGCAGCAGATGGTGGTGCGGTGTGGTTGGGGCAGGCAACTCCCATGCAACGCACCTCGGCTTCACTTCTCGCTGGACTGGTGGAACTCACCACAACCCCGTCGGCAGGGCATGACATTCGAACAGGATCGGGACAAACCAATGGGGAGCAGAGCTAAGGGTGAGCCCCGAGAGAACGTCTCTCGTACGTTTTAGGACCCAAGAATGCATCCCCAAGTGGAACACGGAAATCCGCAATCCACACAAACCTGCCGACCGGCGGATGGTTTGCGAACACGGGGTCATCGGAGACACGCGATCCCAGCGATGACGCACGCGACACTGGTGGGTAGCGGAAATTTCCTGAGGCTTTGCCGATGGTGGCAGGGGATGAATGCAAGTTTTACGGGAGACAGCGCGTCCCTAACGGATACAAACAGCACAGCAGATGGAGTGAGGTGATGACGCACGGCGATTGGATGGCCTTCCAGCCATGGCCGAGTCACAGCGGCGGAAACGCTGCAGTCCGAGCTGAGTGGCTGCTGGCGAAAGGGTGGCTTCCACCAGATGCGGCCTTGGCTCGTGTGACCTGTCAGCCTGGCGCGCTCAGCAGGCACAACGCACCATGGAATTTCGCACCATTGGTTGGAGATCACACGTCGGCAATACGTGGAGCTTTCCAAGTCCCACATCACAACCCCTACACCTCCAGCACCCTGGCCTTATATTAGGATGCAAGCCGCTTGACCATGTAGGTACATAACTACTTTCCTTTGTTTAGAATTGTAAGGAAATTCCATTTTTTCGGTTGTGTTGCGTATGTTGTGATAAAATCGTACTTAAGCATTTCTGTAAGTAGTTCCTGTTAAATTATATAATTTATTATATAAGTGTAGGCTTGGTAGATGTTACTGAACATTACTGTAGAGGGTACAACACCCCTCCTTGTATCCCTCTCTCTTCTTTCCTAGTTCTCTTTTCTCTCCCCAACTCTCACCCCCTAGCCTAAAACCTCACGCCATCCATGGCTCCTTCTCGTACCTAGCTTAGTTTTAACATGGTTTCAGAGCAGGACGCCCTTCCCGGGCCTGCTCTCCACGCTTCCGCCGCGTACTCGTCCTTTCCGTGCCGCCGTCGCGGCCTTCTGTCCGCTTGCCACCGTCGCGGCCTTCTGTCTGTTCGCCGCCGTTGCAGCCTTTCTACTGCCTGCCGCCGTGGCACCGTTTCCAAGATGCCGCGGTGGCCCCTGCGTGCTGTCGGCCCAGCGTCGACGAGCAGCTGCGGTGATGACGCCGCGCTGTGGTGGCGCCGTCTTGGTGCCGTGGTTGCGACGTCGGCCTGTTGCCGTCGCGCACGACCTGCGTCGCTGCTGGAAATGCAGCCCGCCCGCTCGCCTGTAAGCGCCGCGCCAGCAATGGCGCCACGTTGAAGATCCGAAGCCCCGCCCCTTCCCCCTTCCCTTTGTCCCCTCCTCTTCGCCACTGTCGTCGCCGCAGGCCTGTTGCCGCCGCACGCCCGTCGTCGCCGCAGGCCTGTTGCCGCCGCACGCCCGTCGTCGCCGTCGCTGTCGCTGCTGCCGGGACTGCCGCCGTCGCCATCTCCAAGGCCTTGGGGTTGGCCCTGTTGGAGTCGTCGTGGCTGATGGGAATGGGGGTGCTAGGTTAGGGGGTGTGGGGCTCCTACTACCAAGCCTAGGGGGTGTGTTAAATTGTATAAGTTATTATATAAGTGTATGCTTGGTAGATGTTACTGAACATTACTGTAAAGGGTACAACACCCCTCTTTGTATTTCTCTCTCTTCTTTCCTAGTTCTCTTTTCTCTCCCCAATTCTCACCCCATAGCCTAAAACCTCACGCTATCCATTGCTCCTTCTCCTACCTAGTCCTAGCTTAGTTTTAACAGTTCCGATAGATATTGACGTGTTATACTGTACCTAGCATCCGTAGAATGACGTCAGCAAATAGCGCTCGTCTGAATGATTACGACAGCAGGCCGTTTTAGTCACAGGAACAGTTGCGCCCCTTTTAGTAGCGATTAGAGCGCATAGCGCAAGTAGTTTTTGAACAGGTACCGTAATCATCCGGATATATGCGCGGCCATTTATTAAGTCTAGTGGGCTTATAGAGTGCAAATGCGCTCATATCCGTTATTTCATTATAAGCACACCCTGTTTTTTTAGAAAAACTATTCCCTGTAAGCGCATTGAATTACTATTAAAAAACAGGTAAATTGCGAAACTTCCATGTCGAAAAATCTGTGCCAAATCTCCCACAGCACTCTCGCACCCCTCCCAAGCACCTTGCCAGCCGGATTCCCACGTTTCCCGATTACTGTCTTACCTATGATTGGTCCATACCCTGACTTCCCAATATAGTTGTGCTCGCGAAACTTTCGCTAGATTTTTCGCGCAGCATTTCTGCGCGTTCCCTTTTGAAGACAGTTGTATTGGAACCCAAATCAACCCAGCTATATTCTGTGTGTTCAAATCATTTTTCCATCTAGTCATTCGTATTAGCACATGGGCTTATATTTGATTACAAGCGCATGCTGTTTTTTGAACCTAATCCCTATAAGCACATATGCGCCTATATTCGAGGGATTACGGTACATTACAGAACAGGTACTTCTAGCAGGTATAAGAGTAGATTGTATGACTTCAATTATCAACTTGTTCTTGAGTAAATTCTGGTCAACACTTACAAGTTCTAAGACTTCTGTTTTCTTACTAGTCTACAATTCTAGCAAAGATCCTTGCTCGAGTCTTGAAGTATCACAAGGCTGTAACACTGATTCCGGTATTACAACTTGTTAATATTGGCTGTTACTGGAGATACTTGCAGCATTATTTTGTACTTCAAGTACTTGAATCTGCAGATTCTATACTTAGTATTCTGCACTGTTTTTAAATTCTTACAGTGTACAGGGCTTCATATTGGTCTTATGGAGGCTGATTGATCAGGGTCGCCCATGTGAGAACGCTGTTTTTCAGGGTCGGGTTTTGGGTGTGGCATGTTTTATCAGGCCAAAAGAAACTAAATGTTATGATAAACTTCGGATAGGAGTCGATTAATGCACTAGTAAGTGTGTCGAGTACAAATGAAGCACATGGCTAAATACAAGCACAACTATCCTAGCAATGGAGCATGGAGGAAGGCCACAAAGCACACGTTACGTGGTTCGGGGCGCCTTGGGACTCAGAAGTCTCGGACGCGACGCCGCGTGTAGGCTTGGGGTCTCGAACGTAGTTCGAACCTGAATGGGCTTTCGAAAGTCAGGGCTGTACTCGATGTTAGCGAGGCTCCGTGAGGAGAAGGGATTTTCCTTACACCTTCTCCCTCACTTAGACGAGACTACCCACATCTGGGGCAGCCCGATCGTGTAAATAGGCCTGCACCAAAAGGTGGTTGTCAAGGGTAGCGGCTGGGACCCACATGTCGCCATTGCACGTACGGTCAACCCATCGAACCAGAAACTCCAAAACTCGTTGACCTTGGTCGTGGCGGATTTGGTGGGAGAGAATCTCCTGTGGTTTAGTAGTTGGCTCGGGGACGGGTCTGATCGAAGGATAGAGTCGTTGACGGTCGAGATCAGCCGTATTTGTGACGAATTGTCGAAGGAGGATGACGTGGAATGAATCGGCAATCGTCTGGTAATAGTAACTTGGCAGTGACAGGTGTCACCATTCGAACAATTCGGAAGGGCCCATAGAAACTCGGGCGGAGTTTATGTGGTAAACTCAACCCTAAATTCTTGGTGTCCAAAAGGACTAGTTGCCCAGGGGACAGGGGTAAATCCTGTCTATGCCTGTCCGCGTACCGTTTGGCCGTAAGGTTGGCCTTTGAAATAGCCTCGGTAGCATTTTTCTGTGCAGTCAGTAAGTCCTTGACGAACTGTTGCGACCGTGGAGCGGGACTCTCAACTAAGGGTGTAGTGGGAGTCGTGGGGTTTAGACCGTAATTCAGGTAGAACGGGGTTTGGGCATTAGTGGACAAAGGGGCATTGTTATACGCGAACTCGATCAAGAGGAGAGAGTCTTCCCATTGGAACGGGTCGGTGCAAGTTGTCCGTATCAGCTGCTCCATGGTCTGATTTGTCGGTTCAGTCTGACCGTCAGTCTGTGGGTGGTAAGCCGTGGACAGATGGAGACGTGTACCGTACTGTTCCCACATTTTTGTCCAGAAGGTGGACGTAAATATGGTTCACGATCGCTTTCGTGATTCCGTGCAGGCAAACAACGGTTGAGATTAACAACTTGGCACTGGCCGGCAGTCCTGTCACAAAGTCCATGGACACGTGTGTCCAGGGCTTAGTGGGCGGTTCTAATGGTTGCTGTAATCCAACTGGCTTTTGGCGACAGGATTTCATCAGTTGGCAGGTGGGACAGGATGCCACATATTGCTGCACGTCATGGCTCGCAATCGACCAGTAATAATGACGTTGGAGCATTTCCAAGGATTTATCCATTCAGAAATATCATGAGCAATTAGCGTTATGAACCTCCTGTATCTGTAATTCCTGTAACAGTCGGTAGGATGGAACCCAAATTCGATCAGTACCAGCATTAGGTGGTAGTGACCTCATTGAATGATCAGGGTGGTGGCCATTAGAGGTGAAAAGGGGGTCAATATTGTAGCCATGAGTAAACAGTCCAGTGAGCAGCCGATTAGCTTGGGCAATTAGTGCGGCGGCGGTATGGGCAGTAGGGCAAGAAAGGGCTTCGGCAATATTGTTTGCCTCCTTTTTTTACATGATGCGGTAGTGGAAGTTGGACTCGAGATATTCGAGCCAATAGATCTGACGTGGATGGAGGGTTGGTAGGGCTCAGAGAAACTATAGGGACTTGTGGTCTGTTCGGACAGTAACGTCAGCACCAGATAGATAGCAGCGCCGGGTCTTGAAAGCGTTGACGATCGCGGGCATTTCCTTGTCGTGAACTAGGTCATTCTGTTCGGCGCCTTGGAGTTTTCACGAGTCGTAGGCGATTGGCTGCAGGCCTTCGCCAAAGTCCTGTAACAGTGCGGCGCCAACAACGATGTCGCATGCGTCCGTAACCAATTCATACGGGCAATCAGTGTCGGCGATACGAAGAACGGGTGGTGTCATGAGGAAAGTCTTCAGTTGGTCAAACACAGCTTGCTGCCTCTCCCCCCACAGAAAAAAGGCCCTTCTGCAGCAAGTCGGTCAGTGGGGCAGTTGACTCCGTCATTTTAGGGATAAAACAATGCACGTAGTTGATGAACCCGCGAAGACTCTGCAACTCCTCGACATTAAGAGGCGGCTCCCAATTGTGAATCCCAACGATTTTTTTCGGGTCAATTTTAACACCGTCAGTGGAAATTACGTGGCTCGGGAATTCCAGCTCCTCCTTTAAGAACTCGCACTTAGATCCCTTGGTGATGAGGCGGTGTTGATTGCACAGGGTAAAGACTGCTTCCAGGTCCTTCAAATTTTGTTCTCGAGTGAGGCTGTACACCAGGATGGTCCAGGTAGACGATAATGCACTTGTCCAGTAGCGAGCGAAAGACTTCATTCATGGTCAGTTGAAATGTTGAGGGCGCGTTCGTCAACCCAAACAGCATGACTATATACTTGTAACTTCCATAACGGATTCGAAATGCAGTATTCGGAATATCAGCTTCGGCGATACGGATCTGGTGGTACTGTAATCTCATCGTAGATCAATCTTGGAAAAAATCCTGGCCCTGCGAAGTTGGTCGATGAGGTCGTCGACTCGTGGAATCGGGTAACGCAACTTGGTGATTTTGTTGAGTGCATGATATTTGGTACACATCCGAAGCCCTCCGTCCTTTTTGGGGGTGAAGAGAATCGGCGCGGCGTAGGGGGACGTGGACGGGCGAATAAATTTCTTCTCCATCAGATAGTCCATTTGCGTACGCGGCTCCATCAGCTCTAGTTGACTCAGCCTCCATTGCGATCGGACGGTCGGTTGCTCTCCTAGTTCCAGCTCAATCTTGTGATCGTGTGGGCGTTTGGGTGGCAGGCCGAGCGGTTGGTCGTCTGGAAATATCTTCTCGAACTTGCGCATGATCTTCGCCAGGTCCTCAGGAACAGCAGCACACAGCTTCTCCAGGTCGGTTCGTTCAGCCACCTCCGTTGATGCGATCCATCAGATGGCATTGACATCCACACCACGTGCCATCACGCGCTTGGTAGTCACGTTGTTCACCAGTGTTGACTGAGGGTCGGGTGGTTTCCACTTCGGCAGTCGTCTCCACTCGCCACCCCATTTCATACGAATGTCGCCATTTCTCCCATCGATGCTCGGATTGTACGTGCGAAGCCAATCGCACCCCAGGAGCACATCGCAGCCGTCCAAGGTTGTCGCCAGCATCTTCATGGCGCAACTGACTTGGCTGTTGCAATCAATGCGAACGTGTTTCATCCGCTCCCGGATGGCAAGTGGCATGCCGTCAACCAACCTCGCGCCAATCTTGGGCCTGCACCTCTCCATTTGCAGCTGCAGCCTCTTCAATCTTGTCACATCGAACAGACTGTGTGATGCTCTGCCATTCACACATATTTTTAAACTTGTGTTTCCAACGCACCCTTCCATCAGCACAGGGCATTCAACAGGTTCACTCCCGTTTAACCGGGTATGGTCGATCGCATAGATCGACACTACTACTCGGTGGGAATGGTGATCTTCGGGCGATGAAGCCTCATCAGTAGGGGGCCCGACTGCTAAAGATGCTGTCCACTTCCCAGGTTCCTTCCGTCGTTAGCTCCCGATTTATGCAACTCCGGACAGTCCCGCATGATGTGCCCCAGCTGGCCACACTAATATCACCTTCCATAAAATATGTTATCTGATAGTGCTGCCATGCCGTTGATGGATGGGTAAACGTTATGCCCTCGAAAACGACTTCCCTCCTGGAAATTCGTCCTCGGCCATACACTGTTCTCATCCCACGCCTCTGCGACCTGCCGCACCTCCAATAATGTTGCCGGGCGGCGCATGCGAATTTCGCACTATACCTCCGGCTTCAGCCCTAGGATGTATCGACTCGTTTTTTTATTCTCGTGTAGATCGTCGATTTCGTCGCAGATGGCGAGGAAAGATGACGTGTACTCCAGCACATAAACCATTTGACGCCACTCGTGCAGCTTCACACGAGCGTTTCCGCATGCGGATACATGCTTGAAGCGCCGGCGAAGCAGTGCACCCCACTGTTGCCAGGTAAGGACGTCGGCCACACCAAACAAGGATCCTGAAGAAGTCGAAGCCAATCGTTGCTCCCCGTCCATCACCTGTTGCCGGTCAGCCAGAGTCCCTCGTGACGTCACATACTGTCGCCACCAACTTAATGCAGGTCCGCGTAATAAAGACACCGCCAACTTGACGAGTGTCTCATCATCGTTGACATCAGCGGCATTGAAGAACAGTTCCATGGCAAATAGCCACGCACTCAGCGTGGTATGCTTCTCCAGTGGGTTGAACGGCGGGGGCATGGCAGGTTTGATCTTCGCAACTGCCCCTCGCTCGCACAAGCTATCGTCACGTGTCGCTGACGTCGCCTGCGGTTGATGCGTGCTCACACGATCTTCGTCCACTGTAACAGGTGAATCCTGACGCATCGCACCATGCGCCTTGTGAAGGCGCGCGTTCTCCTCTTTCAACGCAGCAAGTTCAATGGCCATGGTCTCCATCTTCGCCATCATCTAGCCGACCTTCGTCGTCAGCACGGATGCACTTACTGCCGCCTCTGACAACAAAGCTACTTGCTCAGAAGTCATATTTCTAGTACCCTTACTAGCTAACGCCACTAAAGACGCTACAGGCACCTACAGCATCAGAGATGTGGAGCGCACACGGAAAAGTCGACGGAACTGAAGAAGTTCTTGCACGATCACTGGAAAACTCCTGTCTCCTAACGTGCGAGGTCCCTCTAAAAACTACCTCACTACGGAAGCCTAAATGGGCAGGAACGTAGCTCTATACCAGCTGTTATGATAATCTCTGGATAGGAGTCGAGCAATGCAATAGTGAGGTCGTGATTAAAGTTTGTCAAGTACAAATGAAGCACAGGGCTAAATACCAGCATAGCTATCCTAGAAAGGGAGCCTCGAGGAAGGTCACGAAACACACGCGAGGTGGTTTGGGGCGCCTCGGGACTCGGAGGTCTCGGATGCGACGCCGCATGTAGGCTTGGGGTCTCGAACGTTGTTCAAACCTGAATTGTCGGGCTGAGCCAGGGCTTCCGAAAGTAAGGGTTGTGCTCGATGTTAGCAAGGCTCAGTAAGGAAAATGGATTTTCCTTATACTAAGCCTGACTAATTAGGCCTACATTTTTTAAGCCTTTTATCCTTACACTACAGATCGGATCGGACTTATTGTCGTACACTACATCCGTGATTTTTGTGGGCCACTCACGCCCCTCACACCTACTCCAACTCGCGTCGGATTGCTTGCGTGATTTTAGCGAAGGACCAATCACGCCCCTCACATCTGCTCCAACTCACGTCACCTGCGTCAATTTGGCGAAGGTCGAGTCACGCCCCTCACACCTGCTCCAGCTCACGTCAAACAGCCTGTGTGATTTTGGCGAAGGACCAATCACGCTCCTCACATCTGCTCCAGCTTGCACAATCTGCGTTATTTTGGCGAAGGATAGGTTACGTTCTTTACAGTTGGACACTTGGCAGTCTTGCAGCGAATTGGACCTGTCACAACTCTGCAGTGCACGACTTAGGGAGAAAACAGAATCAAGGACAGACTCGCACAAAACCGGGGTAGCATTACAATCCCACAGCACATCCCGCCCCCCAACCATTACGACGCCTTGCTCGCAATGCATCGCTCATCAATGACAACCCTCTCCCCACCTGATTCTTTTCCATTTCTTGTTACTGCACTATTCACGTTTCTTGGTCTCAAGAAACCGGCAGTACCCTTCTTCATCGGCATCCTACCCACAGTCCGTTCCTTTCCCCCCTCACCATGCCATGCCAGAGAGACTGACCACGCCGCCGAGCTTGACGGTGACGATCGGCATGTTGGGTCTAGCCAATGCAGAATCCTCACGCCGATATGCCGCTGCCAATACGAGGCCAGCGCCTTTTGCTTCTGCTTTCGGCGCAGGCATGCACTGACCCATCACCCCTGCCTCTCATCAGGGACTTATAAAAAAACTATCCGCCTTATCACCCCCCCTCAATTACACCACCCTTGCCCCTCCACAGCACGGGCATGAAGACAGCGACGGACTTTCTGGCAGCGTGCTATGGGCTCCAGCACGCTGCTCTCCTACTTCATATCTGCGCTTGCTGCCAAGTACACTGCTGCGCAGGGACAGAGCAAGGCGGGGGACATGCCAATACACCTGCTGCTGCTCTCACGGGCTGCAGTGGCTATTGGAAGAGGAGGTAGATGATGAGGAATACAATCTCTTTGGTGATAGTCAGGGTGAATTCCTACAAGGTAGGATCAGAATCAACAATGTTTCTGAACCTGCCGTTTTACAACCTGCAGATCAACAATCGGCAAAAGAGTTGCAAGCGAGAATTGGAGACCAAACAGCATGTATCGAATAATCCTACGTGTACGCGTGACACAGACAACACAAAACACCGCCATACTTGCCCAGACTTCGCAATGTTTGTTAAAAAAAACTGAAACATCGCAGTGCCCAAACCGATCGTCGAAAACCAGTGCGCCAATCACACGAGCCCGCTTCCATCCGAAATTTCAACGCCCACCAACACAGCCTCTGGACGCATAGATAGCATGGAGCATATGCCGAAAGAAGAGCCATTCAGCACACGCCATAGCAAATACAAAGCACCTACAGTGACGGAAACAATTGTCCGGTATTTGGGCTTTCCGACCTTTGTACATAAAGTCTTAATGTTGAATGGTGGTACGCTTTGGGACGGGCACATAGTGGATGTGTTCACAGCACAAAAATCCATGATAGTACACTGGATCTAACTTAGTGCCAAAAGATATACAAAGAGTACATCCGGACAATTATTTCCAAGGACAAAGAGTAAACTTCGGTGCAGCGTTTCTAGTACCTAGTCCACCAACACTTGGCATTGATCACCACTTGCACCCTCCTAGGCATGTTATCTACGAGGTTAGTGCAAACCTTTATATGGATCTTCTCGCACTCTTCCTGGACCCACGCTTTTGCATAAGGGGGTGAGCACTAGGAAGCTTGCGAAGGATTTTAGCGTATGCAAGAGTATTGTGAACGATTTATGACTGAATGCTATCTCTAAGACTAGCCACGCTGAGGTGTGGCCAAAGATGCCATATATCGATTGACTCCGTCTTATCACGGATCATCTTCGTTGTACCGTTGTAGGGTAAAATTACGAGCAGAGTGGTGAAAACTAGTGTATCTGTCGCGAAACATAGGGTAACATAGCACGGTCAACTGTGCACCCTTGCACTATTAGAATCACGCTAGGATCTGTAGGTCTCGTCACGGTGCAGCAGTCGAAGAAGCCGTGACTGTTAAGAAATAATATCCGGGTTGAGGTCTGGTGAGGAAAAGGGTCACTCCAGCGCAACATACTCATACTCTCCAAGCCATACCAAGCCACGTGTCCCGCCTAGGCTTGGAATGGCTTGGAGAGCATGAGTTTATAGCACTCGAGTGACCCTCATCCTCACCAAACCTCAACCCGGATATTCTTCCCCACCAGTCGGGGCTTCTTTGGCTGCTGCACCGTGACGAGACCCGTAGATTTTGATGTGATTCTATTAGTGAAAGGGTGCACAGTCGACCGTGCTATGTTACCCTAAGTTTCGCGGCGGACACGCTTGTTTTCGCCACTCTGCTCGTAATTTTACCCTACAACGGTACGACGAAGACGATCCACGATAAGATGGGACTAATTGACTTATGACATCTTTGGCCACACCTCAGCGTGGCTAGTCTCAGAGATAACATTCTATCTGAAATCGTGCACAATACTAGTGCATACGCTCAAATACTTAGCGATTTTCCTAGTGCTCACCCCCTTATGCAAAAGGGTGGGTCTAGGAAGAATGCGAGAAGATCCTTGTAAAGGTTTGCACTAACCTCGTC